GAGGTCGGAAATTAATTTTTCCGAATTTATTCCTAAGGGACTTCTCCCGGAATTGCCTCCTTCTAAGCACTATAACTTTCTTTCATTTCTATATCGTGTTTATCATAGTGCCATGCGGTCTTCATATTCATATCTTTACATTATTCTATTACCGCAACCTTAACATCTATTTCACCCCGACCTGCTCCCAGTCTGGCCTTGTAGCTCAGCTGGTAGAGCATCGGTGTACAAATCCGAAGGTCGTGGGTTCGAATCCCAGCGAGGTCGGAAATTAATTTTTCCGAATTTATTCCTAAGGGACTTCTCCCGGAATTGCCTCCTTCTAAGCACTATAACTTTCTTTCATTTCTATATCGTGTTTATCATAGTGCCATGCGGTCTTCATATTCATATCTTTACATTATTCTATTACCGCAACCTTAACATCTATTTCACCCCGACCTGCTCCCAGTCTGGCCTTGTAGCTCAGCTGGTAGAGCATCGGTGTACAAATCCGAAGGTCGTGGGTTCGAATCCCAGCGAGGTCGGAAATTAATTTTTCCGAATTTATTCCTAAGGGACTTCTCCCGGCATTGCCTCCTTCTAAGCACTATATCTTTCTTTCATTTCTATATCGTGTTTATCATAGTGCCATGCGGTCTTCATATTCATATCTTTACATTATTCTATTACCGCAACCTTAACATCTATTTCACCCCGACCTGCTCCCAGTCTGGCCTTGTAGCTCAGCTGGTAGAGCATCGGTGTACAAATCCGAAGGTCGTGGGTTCGAATCCCAGCGAGGTCGGAAATTAATTTTTCCGAATTTATTCCTAAGGGACTTCTCCCGGAATTGCCTCCTTCTAAGCACTATAACTTTCTTTCATTTCTATATCGTGTTTATCATAGTGCCATGCGGTCTTCATATTCATATCTTTACATTATTCTATTACCGCAACCTTAACATCTATTTCACCCCGACCTGCTCCCAGTCTGGCCTTGTAGCTCAGCTGGTAGAGCATCGGTGTACAAATCCGAAGGTCGTGGGTTCGAATCCCAGCGAGGTCGGAAATTAATTTTTCCGAATTTATTCCTAAGGGACTTCTCCCGGAATTGCCTCCTTCTAAGCACTATAACTTTCTTTCATTTCTATATCGTGTTTATCATAGTGCCATGCGGTCTTCATATTCATATCTTTACATTATTCTATTACCGCAACCTTAACATCTATTTCACCCCGACCTGCTCCCAGTCTGGCCTTGTAGCTCAGCTGGTAGAGCATCGGTGTACAAATCCGAAGGTCGTGGGTTCGAATCCCAGCGAGGTCGGAAATTAATTTTTCCGAATTTATTCCTAAGGGACTTCTCCCGGAATTGCCTCCTTCTAAGCACTATAACTTTCTTTCATTTCTATATCGTGTTTATCATAGTGCCATGCGGTCTTCATATTCATATCTTTACATTATTCTATTACCGCAACCTTAACATCTATTTCACCCCGACCTGCTCCCAGTCTGGCCTTGTAGCTCAGCTGGTAGAGCATCGGTGTACAAATCCGAAGGTCGTGGGTTCGAATCCCAGCGAGGTCGGAAATTAATTTTTCCGAATTTATTCCTAAGGGACTTCTCCCGGAATTGCCTCCTTCTTAGCACTATAACTTTCTTTCATTTCTATATCGTGTTTATCATAGTGCCATGCGGTCTTCATATTCATATCTTTACATTATTCTATTACCGCAACCTTAACATCTATTTCACCCCGACCTGCTCCCAGTCTGGCCTTGTAGCTCAGCTGGTAGAGCATCGGTGTACAAATCCGAAGGTCGTGGGTTCGAATCCCAGCGAGGTCGGAAATTAATTTTTCCGAATTTATTCCTAAGGGACTTCTCCCGGAATTGCCTCCTTCTTAGCACTATAACTTTCTTTCATTTCTATATCGTGTTTATCATAGTGCCATGCGGTCTTCATATTCATATCTTTACATTATTCTATTACCGCAACCTTAACATCTATTTCACCCCGACCTGCTCCCAGTCTGGCCTTGTAGCTCAGCTGGTAGAGCATCGGTGTACAAATCCGAAGGTCGTGGGTTCGAATCCCAGCGAGGTCGGAAATTAATTTTTCCGAATTTATTCCTAAGGGACTTCTCCCGGAATTGCCTCCTTCTTAGCACTATAACTTTCTTTCATTTCTATATCGTGTTTATCATAGTGCCATGCGGTCTTCATATTCATATCTTTACATTATTCTATTACCGCAACCTTAACATCTATTTCACCCCGACCTGCTCCCAGTCTGGCCTTGTAGCTCAGCTGGTAGAGCATCGGTGTACAAATCCGAAGGTCGTGGGTTCGAATCCCAGCGAGGTCGGAAATTAATTTTTCCGAATTTATTCCTAAGGGACTTCTCCCGGAATTGCCTCCTTCTTAGCACTATAACTTTCTTTCATTTCTATATCGTGTTTATCATAGTGCCATGCGGTCTTCATATTCATATATTACAGCTAGTTGTTTCAAAAAATTGACAACGTGTCAACGCGAAAACTTCGCGATAACAAATTAGCGCTCAGTAGAAAAGTTAAATGATCTTTTGAACCATTGTAATAGCAAGTTCAATATATATCAGTTATGGTTTACATACTTGATCCCATATCCATCCAATGAATTCTCTTTTCTTTGTTATTACTGGATACGAAAGTGAATGGAATGACCCATTTATAACTAATGGAAATAATTAAAATAATATTAATTACAAAAAATATAATGAAATTCAACGATGTCGATAAACAATATATACTAACATGTCTCACTGAGTGGTTATATTAAAGCCGTGAAATAGAAAGTGAGTGGGAACCGTWAAACCCGTGAAATGGTAGTAGAATATCCCGTAAGCGGAAATGGAAAAAGTGTGCGCTAACAAAACTGTTCGCCTATGAGCAAGGAGTTATATAACAGACAAATATCATAGATGATATAACACTGTTCTTATCTTTCATTATCATGCATCATCATAAATGCTTACTCGAAAGGTGATTTGTATTTAGARTCTGAGACGTTMGCTGTTTTGTCAAARAAGAAGTGTTTTTGAGTCACTAGGTACTTTGATGGGCCTTGTTTAGTGAGTTTAACYACTGGATATCCCATTTGGAGTGTCCACGTGTCCATCACATGCTTGACATCACAGTTACGGCCTTTCAATTTTTCGCAGCT